TCCTTGCCAGGCACATCTCCAGTGCAGCAGGTAATTTTTCCCCATCCTTTTCCCACAGGAAAAGATGAGAGCACATGCTGAGCAGGTGCTGTGTGCCAGCTCTGTGCACACATCATTGGGTCCCCTCATGTAAAAGCCAGCACTGCAGCCCAGCGGGCAACGCTCGCAGCTGTGATTGTCACTTCAGGCTGTGAGTGCAAGGCCATGAGAATAACACAAACAACAAGGGAAAAGAAATAACACCCCAGAGGCTCTGCAAAAGCAGAGGTGTGGCAGCCTGAAGGCCAGGACATGGAGTTGCCTGTGCAAGGCAGCTTATGGAGCCACTAAGAGAAGGCCATGAGCAATACAAGGGGCTGAGGCACCTAATTCACTGTGCAACACCTGTGCTGAACAATCAGCTGCAAAGCAAGAAGCAACACTACCATGTAGCTTGGATCACATCCTGGGATATAAGCAGGGCTGTCTGGTAAATACAACCTTCAGTTGTTAAATACAATCTTCAGCACACTCAATGGAGAGAGACATGTATCTACAGCAGCTACCACAACTTCTAACTTGATATCATGCCCTCCATCTTTATCAGCAAGATCTGAGCTTATATAGAAGCCCAAGGGTCTGTTCTACAGATACCTCAACCCTGGAGGAGCCAAAGCAGGAAAGGAGAGACACGCCTCCATACTGTGGTGAGCCTCCCTCCCATTGACCTTTGCAGACACATGTAAAGAGTTCTCAAAGTTCAATGTTCTATTGGTTCACCAAATTGATGTAATCCCTGTTCCGTCCCCATTTGCCATTTATGTACATCCCCTAGAATGTTCTCCCTTCCCTGGGCCCCCATTGGCCCTATTTTGGTGCATTGCTCTGCCCCATTATCCTATTGGATCTCCTCCTATGCACCACTTTTACCTGTTCCCATTGGACCCTAGCCCAATGAACTGCCCCCTCCTACCTCATATATAATCCTGGACCCTCAGCCTATCCTGGTCTTTGCGCCTGGACCTTATTCAAAACGTAATAAAGCTCCAGGATTTCCATACAAAGACCCATCCCTTCATCAGCCTTTTTTAGTAGTGTGCTCTGGGCCCTGAAAGCACAGGTCACTCTTAAGGCTGTGTTGTTGCATGCTGCAACAAGCTTATACTTCACTGCATTTCCAGATGTCACTGTTACCCGTGGTCAGCCATAAAATTATCACTAAAATAAGCCAAGGAAGTGATGAGTCAGTTTTGATACTGGAACACTGTCAGGTAATTCACCTCTCTGCTGTAACCATACAATAGTTTTGTCAGAGGGAACCCACTCACATCCTCAGCTATGTGCTGAGGGATGAGAAATGGTATGTGTGACCCTGTTGTCAGCTTCCTGTGGGCTTGCTGGTACTCAGGAGGTTCCTCATTGCCAGCAGCTTCCCTGGGGACTCTGCATCAACAGCTGCACTGCTCCAATAACTGTATGGTGTAACACGGTCCAGCAAACCCTGGGCTGATTTTTCAGACGAGGCAGAGCTTTGTCTGCAGCACAGCTCTGTGCTCCTGGCTACTTTTGATGAGAGCATGCTTCACTGAAGGGTGTGCACGTTCCTCAGAAAGCTGGTGTTGTGTCAAGCACTGGGCAGGATGGGCTGGCCACTACAGAAACACCACTGAAACTGTATTCTTAGCACTTCCTTTCCCTTCTGCACTTACCACATCACCTGGGTTGGGAAATGAAAATGCAGGAAGACAGCAGATGGGCAGCAAAATTCAGCTCTGCATTCCCTCCCTCATAACCTGATTTAATTCACAAACTCTCTGCATGACCTTTGAAAGTCTGCTCCTGGGGGATTTTTCTGCAATGCATTCAGATACCTAAACTTACAGAAAGGTTTTCAGCAGTATTTCCACAAGACCAAGGTGTTCAACTTCAGTTATTTTAATGTAGAAAATATGGATGCTAGCTTTGGAGCAAGCTGCAGGCCCCATGGCCTATCAGTCTTGCCTGAGAAGCTAGCCTGGGAAATTCATAGGAGAATTTCAAAACAATCCTCAGAGACAGAAAACAACTGCCAGGTGCTGTTTGTCTGTCCTCTTGTTTTCCTTGCAAGAGAGTCAGAGGGTGTTGTGCCCCACTGACCAATGATGGTGATGTAAAACTTTACTAACCAATAAAAGTTTCCTTTCTGTACTTTCCACGTATCTGTCTATAAGACAAGCCTAGAACAATAAACTAGAGGAATTCTCCTGTTGTGACTCCCTTGAGAGTCAGTGTCGTTCTTTTTGCTGTTCCTAATCAGAACGACAAGAAAAGGACATGAAGAACAGAACAAACACACATACAGAACCATAAGCAACCTCTCAGAATTCCTTTGGAAATGTGACCGTATGTGCTTCAGGTTCCCATCCATAAAATAAGGGACACAGCACACACACAGAGCTGTCATGAGTGTAAATAAAATGTACTGTCCTACTACCCAGGGTGCCTTGCAGTATCTTGAATAGATACCTTCCCTCTTCCCTCACGCCAACCTGGAAGGCAGGCAGGAATGGGATCTCATTACAGTGGTTTAATTCCCTAGAAAACCTAATCACTTATTTGAACTAAGCATGAGAAGTATCCAGCTCATTCACTGCAAATCCCAGTTAAAGATATAATCAACATAGCAATAGAAGTAGCTGTAGCATGCAAAAGAACAGTATTCCCTCATTGCAAGGAAAAATAAAATAATCCAGCACGCCAATATTCTCTGATCAGCTTTTCTCCCACAAAGTGGAGTCTAATGAAGTCCACATTCATATGCAAAGATTACCTTCAGTTAGGAAAGGTAAAGCATGTTCTAACTGCCAGTCAGAAAGATGAAGGCTCCCATTGCTTTCACAAACCTCTCAAAACAAAAAAAAAGTAGAAATAGAACAGAAAACATAATTCAGAAACTGCTGACCATAGGGGACCACTAGGCCAGCATATTCTGTAGCATCATAAAACACTTGTACAGAAACAAGGTAATTAGACAGAAGTACTTTAATATCTTACAATCTTTTCTTCTACATGTTGTAAATTTCTTAATGTTTGGGGAAAGCGAGTGCACACAAGTCCATGTGACTTTCCAGGAACAGATCCAAGCGTGATGCTTCTCAGAAACAGATTTATTTCCTTGTACAAGGAGTACAGGAAGCTGCATTCATGTTTTGTGCCCACTTCAGACTAAACAGCAATGCCACAAATGCTCCTAGCAATGGCTCTCAAACCTGCCCACTAAGGAGACTGAGCATTCAGGGGACACCAAGCAGGGATCCCACCCAAGCAATAGCCCACAGAAAGGAAATTAAAAGTAAATAAGCCATGTTACAAGCATGTCAGAGCCTGGGGAATGTCATTGTTCATACACACAGAGCCATCCCATAGAGCTTACTGTTCTTCAAGCATAACAAGAAAACATGCTTTACATCTACGAAGCTTCCAGTGCTGTAGTTACCTGGAAAACCTTATCTCTGGGTGAACATAAATAATTTGAAAGGTCAGGAATACTCATAGTCCAGCACTGCTTTTCCAGAGATGTAAATGGCAAGGCACAGCTAGGCTGAAGGATCGCTCTATGCTCTTCTCTTACTTCTATAAAGGAAAAGCATATGGCCATGCAAGTAACAAAGTTCATACTGATGTACACAGGGACCAGCTTGGAAATTGTTTTATTGCAGATACATTTGGGCTCTGACCTTTGAGAGCAAACAAGGATCTGCAACTCAGCCGCAGCATCAGCTGGTGAAAGAGAAGAAGCTGAAAGTGGAGAAGTCCTTTTGCCAGCTGGGAGCTGTTCCTGGGGCACCCCACCAACTGTCCCCCTTCTCCCAGCCCCAGGCTGCTCTCAGCCTGTCCCTCCTTGGTGCCAAGCAAGCAGCAGTGCCAGCAGGAATATCATCCTGGAGATTGCCTGCATAAAGAAATCAACCAGTCCAGGAAATACTTGCATGCCAGAGTATGAACAGTAAAGAGACGATCGTGGAGAATTCAGACCATCATCTATTTAAAAATAAACCTCTGCTGCTTCTTCAACAAACAAGATATCTGGACTGCACATCCCATGACAGTAAGAACAGTAAGCAAGGAAATAGAGAATTAAAATCTACAAATGAGTGATCCTCCACTCAGCTTCTCTGCCCAACCAAAATGACTTATCAACTCCCAATATTCTTTTATATCTCACTTCTAAGTGACTATTATATATATAAGACTATTTTTACTCAGAAAAGACATTGTCAAGTAGTAAATCACTTAAAGTCCTCCTTATGCTTGCCAGATTTTCTAGAAAGATCTCTACTACAGTAGATGAGACAAACTGTGTCTGTCAGACCAACACTAATGCTTCTGAACAAACACTTGCAATAAGATTAAAGTGCACATACTAATACTAAATGATAGTTTCTCTAATTTCTTAAACAAGTACTGGAAATTTTGTTTTCCAGTGAAGAAAATGAAGGATTCTACACTAGAAAGTATAAAAACAAATTACATTAAAGGATGATGGAGAAAAAATGACAAAGTCAGAAAACCATAGCTGTCTCATTTTTAAAACACCAGGATCCATCTTCCTGTCGTGTCCAGCCTTTAAACAGCTACTGCTTCTGGAAAATGGGTTTCACTTGGTACATGAAGGATTTACAGCTTAATTACTTACACAAACACATTAGGGCTTCACTGACCAAATGATAGGACACAACTGTTCTTTTTCTTGAAAAATTCATAGAACTCAAAAAAAGGAAGCTGACTGCTTCAGTTTCCTGATGGTGGTCCTTCAAATGTATGGGAAGGTTTTGGCACCTTTGATCTGGGTATGGGGACAGGCAGGGGAAAATTATTTTAAGACCTCTCTGCCATCTTCTCAGCAGAGCACGAACATTTACACTCACATGGCCAGAGTCATTGAGAATTAACAATATGGGGCCAAAGACTTAATTTCTTTGCACTTTTTATTTCAGACATGAATATCTTCTATAGTAACAACCATATTTGTTTTTCTGCCTCAATTTATTTTTCTACCCAACTTGCACAGCCACACTGCTGATCCCATCTCTATTTATGCCTGCAACAATACTGTTGTGATCCCACCAAGCACAGTGTTGCCCATTTTCAACACCAGGAGACAAGACTGAAGAATTTACAGAATCACACTTTTCTTCTACAGCAGGGCCACAACATAAATATCAAAGTGCTGTAAATAGAAGGAAAGAGTTGAAAAGTAAAATAAACAATTTGGCATTAAAAAGGATACAGCTATAGTAACACATTTGGATCATCTTACACCCATTCATTGGGAGTAGAGGAGAAAACCCAGCCTAACATGATCCTCTTACCATTCTGGAATCAGGCACAGGTTTCCAAAGAGAAGACCAGCAGAATCTAGCCTGCCTGCAGTGTCCTTCCCTCCTCATTTCATTCCTCAGAGAGGACCCAGAGTCTGTCTGCTTTGCATACAGACCCAAGGTAGAATATATTCCAAAGGCAGTAGGCAAGTTTTCAGAATCCCAGTTTTGTGGGGTTGGGGTTTTCACAGCGAGCATCAGATAGGAATAATCACTCAAAAATGGAATTCATACTTATGTTCAATGATTAATGCTGAAATCATGACGTGTCAGAGCTTCGTTATAAAGACCAATGTAAAAGAAAACCACAACAAAACACTGCGCCAAAAAATACCCTTTTCTTATTTCTTCTCTCTCAAAAAAGTTACTTGCAAATGTGTTGGTTTGACTGTCCTGTGTTTGTTTTCTGTTCCTATTGACAACACAGAGGCAACTCAGCTCTGAAGAAGCTCCACATCAGCAGATTTTTTTATCAAGACCCGGTCTTGATTTCTTTGACTGCACACCCCTCTGAGACCAAAACTGCACTCTATCATTTCTCTGATAAATAAAAAGCTGATTTAAAAGATTCATTCTTGTCTCTACCCTTTCTCATTCTTCTCTCCATTTCCCATCTCTGCCTTAGAGATGTGGTAGATCTCAATGGTACCAGACTCAAATTTGATAACTAAAGTGGAGGGAAGCTGAACACCAGGACTTCAAGCTTAAATTGTACCAGCACTAGAAAAAGTATACATAGAATTGGATCCTTAGCAAGCATCTTTCGAGAGGAAGGGCTTTTCAAACCCACAGCAGACCAGTTCTAGGCACAGCTGCTCAGTTGTGGTTTGAAGCAGTACAGAAGATGTGACACTTTCAAACAGCTTTATTCTTTTATCCCAGCTACAGAAGAAGAGATGAAATGACATGGCATAAAATCTATGAGATTAAACTGCCCCTTTGACATTTTCCAACCAAACTTTAACTGGCAGAGTTTGCACTAGCTCATCCTTTGTTTTGTGTAGAGAGTCTTGTCCTTTTCTGTCACAGGGCTCATAATCACACAGCCAGAGCCCGAGTTTACAGAGGAAGTAATTACAAAAAAAAAAAAGCTCCCAGGTTTCTACTCACAGAATGAACACACTTGGTACAGGACCATCAGGTTGATACAGTGTTGTTTCTTTTTTAAGTAGAAAGAGTGCATTTTTTAAGGCCTCTCTATCAAACATAACACACTTTTGAAAGCTTTTTAAACTGAAGGGCTTGGTAGTTTCCATCCCAAGTACCAAGAGAAGATTCATTCCCTGTGTCCTCTATAGTTTCTGAACTCTTCTGCAGGGTCACAGAGGAAAAAACATCCTATTACCCAATAACAGTGGCAGCAATACATCTGTTCTACAGCCAATATCTCCCTGACAGCTATCATGTCCCAGGAACCGTTCCATTATGTCAGATAGTTACTTGGAGTTGGTGGCCAGATGGCAGCAGCAGGATAATAGCTGGCAAACTTGTATATGACTTCCCTTCTTCCAAGGTACAGAAAGACAGTTTCCAGAAATACTCACTGTTAAAAATGGCTCTTCCTAGTCATTCCTGCTATTTTCTAATGGTTGCCTGCCTCTGCTATATTTGCGTCACAAAAATCAACACAGGAGTCTTTGTTAAAAGAGCACAGTCTGAGTGGGACCAGCCAGCTTAGATATTACAATCACACTGAGCATTTAATTTTATTTTTAAGCCCATCTGTTTAATGAACAACCAGAAATAACTTTGGTCTTTTTTACTGTAGATTTTTCTTCTACAGACATTATCTTGTGGTCTGCCTCATACCTGATGATTTATTAATTACCATCCTGGCTACTACTAAGAGCAGAAGTGTTATCAGTAGGGTACTGTTGCTAACTGATAAAATAAGGGATGTCATCAATTGTATATAATAAAGACCTGTCAAATTGCACAGATCTACACTGGCATTTTGTGGATGAAGTCTATATATGCCTCCTTGACTTTAAAAGGAACCTTCTTGTCCCATCCCACTTTTGTCATGTTCTGACATCCAGGTATAGCTACACCATTGTTAGATAAGCTACAGCTAAAAGGGGTCTTGCAAGAAAATGCAAGATTAAACCAAACCACAATCATCTACACTCAATGTTTTCATCATCCAAGCCAGGTGTGGGCGTATCAATATTCCAAGAGATTTAAGTAACCTTCAAAAAATAATAATTCATAGATCCCTGAATACCTTGCTGATGCACCTCAGTTCTCAGAAACCCCGTAGCACAATGTGTTTTAGAAGAAAATATTCTCTCAAAAGGAATTGTTACATTAATAGTAAGAATAAAAATCTCATTTAACGTCAGAACAAATAAAAGCCAGTAATATTTCAGTCCAGAAATTTTCCCACTTTTTTAGGGCAGTTCTTGAGTAAAAACATTCATATATGCTTGAATTTATTTATCTATGCTTATTTAGGGTATTTGGGTTTATACAAAAATAGGTATAAATAAAAAGGCAGAAGTTTCAAGTAGAGCAAAAACCAGTATCTCCTCCTTCCCCTGGGAAAGGGCTTTCTCCCAGCTGCTGATATCCCAACAGGGCTGGAAGCAGAGAGCTGGGAGGCAAAGTCATACCAAATGCCTACAGGGAGAACGGGCAAGTGCCTCAGTATTTTGAGCTCTCCCACAGCCAGGCCTCTGGCTTGCACCCTGCTGCCAGAAACAAAGCTTCCCACTGCTGGGCTGTATTCAGCCACCCTGTGCTCTTCCTTGGGAATCAGTGCTAATTAATCACAGTTTTTCCCCTATAGAGATGAGATCTTTTGCTCCAGCCTCTCCAGTGGCAGGCAGAACCAAGGAGACCCTTTTGATTCTACTCCCTCCTTTGTACACCACTTGTGTTTCAGGATTGAAGCAAGGTACAGACCTTGTCACTCCAGCAGGACATGTGAGGAATAGAAGGAAAACCAGCAACGGTTGAATGTCAGGCATTATGGTGACAAAAATCAAAACAATCATTGAACTGCTTCCTGCTGGTGTGTATTATGAAGTAGAAACCGCTGTTGTAAGAAACTCAAACTACTCAAATGCTAATTTTGTGATATGATTGTACACCACGTTCATAGCACCTGGAAAACACTTCATGCATGTGCACTCAGTGAAGCAAAGACACAAAGGATATGAACAGTGGAACTATTTTAAGGAAAAGTGTTGCTGTGTTCCCATCTCTCTCCCCACTACCCAACCTGCTCATCGTGAGGGCAAAATGTGGAACACTGGGCAAAAGCATAGGGAGGGTACAAAGCTCTATGTGATTACTTTCCTCACTAAACAAATGTCAGTAGCAAAGTTCAAAATTACTATTTCCCTCTTAACCAAAGCAAAAATTCCAGATCTAGTTAGTAGGCCAAAGGAAGGGCACAAAGCACAAATCCAGAATAACTCAGGGCTCAAACCTGCAGGCTGAGTCCATCCTAGTAACACTAGATCTCAATTACTCACTAACCATTTGCCAGCATTACAGCATCTCTTAGCCCCAGCATGAGATGAAGCACAGCCAAATATACCCACTTGTCCTGGTTGTGAACAGGACAGGGTTAATTTTTTGCAGTAGCCAGAGGGGGGCATAGCTGGGACATGGAGGTGATTTTACATCACCTCACATCATGGCTGGGGGCAAGGGAAAGGGATTCTTCTGGGGACAAAAGTTACTTTCCTGCAGGGAAAAGGTGGTGGAGGAAGCCATCTACACTGTCTATTAATAGGTGGTTTTCCTTGTGAATAATTTCTTTCCTTATACCTTTTGCTATTAATATAATTGCTGCTACTGTTCATTTTCTTACCTCATGGCTGTTAACAGTAAATTTTTAGTATTTCAACCCATGAATTTTGTTCTTTGTGCCTCTAATTGGAGGAGCAGAGGGGAAGAAGTGGTGCATGTGGGAGTACTAAATTGAGAATACCATTCCCAAACCATGACACCGCTTTACAAGGCCAGGATTTTCCCATCTTGTTCGCTCTGCTTTTTGATGCACAACCTGTTCTCAGATGCAGCTCCCAATGGTTTGAATCACACTCTGAAAGCAATAACAGTGGCCTAGCTTCTTAAGACGTGTCAAGTGTTCCAAGTTCTGCATTTTACTCACCTGTAAATGAAACCAGGAATCAACATCATCTTCATTTTGCAGCCCCAAGGAGGACTGGAGCTGTGCTCTGTTCAATGCTCTGCAAACACACGCAGAGAATCCGCCCCACACCAATGAATCTGTAGTTAAAGAGATGGAGATAAGGTGCAGAGGGTTACAAAGCAAAAGGATTTGTCCACAGTTTGCAGAGAAGTAATACAACCTAGACCTCCTAGCTCTCCTTTTCCTGGCTATTTAAAGCCATTTCTGTGCCTGTCAGGTACTAATGGCAGCACATCATGACAGTAAAATTTATCTTAAATAGGGAAACTGCCTGTTCCAAAAATACAGCTGAAAGGGAGCTCTCCAAATCATCTGGTCCATATGTTCTGTTGGCCAGGAAACTCAAATTGGCAAATCTAAACCACTACACGAAATTGGTGTTTCTGCCCAGTTTCAAAGTGAAACTGCCACACCCTCCCTGTACATCACATGAAAAGCTGTAGCCTCAAAGTAAGATAGCCATAGGAAAAAACTGTTTTTCTTGCCCCATCAAAACACTTGTAGCAGTCTTGGGTACAATTATCTCAAGGATTCCTCAAGTTTCCTCGAGGAGGAAACTCTATGGACTTTTCTCCACTGCTGAGTACAGGTCTGGAGCATTCTGCATCCAAGTACTATTCTTTAAGGCACTGACTTACACTTTACTCAGCTACCCTGCAAAGGGCTCATTGAGCTCACACATGCCCATGTCCTCGGTATGGTCACACCATTTTATTTTAGCAAGTGAAGAAATATTGCATAGTAAACTTTGTACATGATCTGCTATAATTACCACACATGTAGGAATAAAAAGATTATTCTCTAAACATAAACATCATTTTGCCATCCCTCAGCATGCAGAATAAGATTTAAATCCCATGGGTCATTCTCTGTGCTCAAGGAGGAAACCATCAAGTTTCCACTTTTGCGGTAACAGCATTGGTTAAATCCTGCCAGCTCTGTTAAATGCATGTAAAGCTTGTGTGCAAGAGCAGAAAGCTCTGGAAGCTGTGCAATGCTGGTTCTTCAAACAAGAGTGATTTCACCTTATTGTTTACTGACTTTTTTTATTATACTTAACAGACAACATGTCAGATAAAGGCATAAATTCTTATTGAAAAGAACTGCCACTCCAAAGTCATAACAACAAAAACCAGACAAACCCAGACCAAGAGTTACAAGTGCCATAGATAACAATCTCAAGAACATTTAGTAAAGCTGATGAACTGTATTGGTAAAGGATAAAGGAAGCTCATGCTTCATTATAGCAGTGCCTGTGTAGTGCTCTTACACTTCCAACAAGCTGAAGGACAGTGGCCTTCAGGTAGCAAAATTATTATGTGCATAGGGAAGTTTCATCCCCAGTTACTCAGCAAGAGAGAAGCTCCTTTGTGATCTGGCACTGCCCTCCCCACTTTGCCAAGGGCTGCAGAACTTGGAAAAAACCCAAGGTAAATAGGAATGCAGCCTCAGGCTGTGCTCCTCTGAAAACACTTCAAGGGCTTCTTTAATACCCTCTCTTCAGGACAACAAAGGCCCTCTAGCCTTCAGCTGACTTCCAAGTAAAATGGAAGCATTGAGGGATCTTGTAGGAGGACCGTGTGGTGTACTTCTACAACATAATTAGTTTCTACAGTAGTATCCTTAAAAATATTCATCCTTTTCATTAGGTGACAGCTGCAAAATGTAAACATCTTTTGAAAGCTTATTTCTACTTTTTTTTTGCTCTCTTATAAAATAAAAGGGTTTAGATCTACAGTCTTCAAATGGCACATCATAGGGAAAAAAAGAAAAAAAAAAGGAAAAAATAAGCAAAACCAGAATGCTGTAGAAAAATTGAATGCTGTAGGGGAAAAAAAATTCTTTGTCTCTAGTGATGCTCCCAGGAATTTCAAGGCAGTGGTTGTCAGTCTGGGAAATGTAAGTGCTGCTTAAAATAAAGAAGGTATTATGGAGAACCTAATGCTAGCAAAAGGTGCCAAATACTCTTGGCAGCAAAAGCTTCAGACAAATGAGTGACAGGGTATTGTTACACAATGTACAAGTGAGGAGACTGTATACACAGGTGACCTGTTAAAAAGGTTAGAAGAAAGGGCTGCTATTAAAATAACAGTGGTCTTCACATAAGCTCTTTACACTGACAGGTCATTCAAGTCACTTTGTGCTGTACTGGAGATGCACAAGAGAGCAAACTTAAGCAAACTTACCTGCAGAGCCAAAGGAGGCACTGACACAAATGCCACAGTAATGAAGACATGGGGGAAAAAAGAAAATAAAAGCGGGGGTGTTGAAGAATCAGGAGACCCCCAGTCTCTTCCTTGACTTGAAGCCTGTGCCTAGCAAACCACACAGTCACACTGGTGCTAGTTAAGCTTCAGAGGCAGCACACAGCTGCTGAGCAGAGCAAATTCTGCAGTACTCATGGGTGAAAATATATGAGGAGCCGGCACAGCAAGAAAGCTAAAGATAATTTTACTCACTGTTAAAGACAACTGCATTCACCACTGATAGTTCTTATCTAGGCATAGCAGACTTGGCCCAAACTTCAGAGACAGATTTGCAGAGAAATCTCACCACACCTTAGGGAAGGACACGAAAGATAGGAGATGGCACTCAATTCTGAATCAGTGCCCAGGAGTGGCATAGATATTTGGGACACACAGAGGAGAGTTAAATAGAATTTGCTATGAACACAGTATTTAAAAAAAAAAAAAAAGAGATATAATAAGCCAGAGCTCTGCTTAACTGAACTGCAACTGTTTCATGAAGCAAAGACAGGAGATTTCTATCCCATGGAAAGTACAGGTAGCTCAGGTTCACTTCCCCCCCACAAAATAGAGACTAAATTTGAGTGCGATAACAGAGTATTAGATACTTCTTCCTTAATTACTTCAGAAACAGAACCTTGACTATAAACAGCTTCTTCTGTGTCTCTTATACTGGAGATTTACTAGTAGACAGCTCCATGCATCCCTAAACAAAGGAAATTCAGGTAGGCACCTCTAAAGAAGCTCAAAGGATAAAAATCAATCCTGTGAACAACAAGGAGCCCAGGAATGCTATAGGGCTTTAACTTTCTCTGCCTTTGTCCAGTAATGCTGGACCCACCTTCTCACTCATCATCCTGGTACTAGAAGACATTGTGCAATAGGGCATAACTTCATAGCACTGTGAGGAGTCCTGGTGCTATTCAGAGGTGATGCAGCAGCCATATCCACTAGGATTTGCCATGCCAGACACTGTACACCACCTACCTGAGGTGATCTAGCACCTCTCCCAACAATTCAGTAGCTGTGGCTTTTAAGGTTTAAGGTTTCAGAAAGCAGCATTTCTATTGCTTCCCCTGCAAACCTATCAAAGTAATACATCTTACTATCATGAAATAATATGCAGGAAAATGAAGGCAAACAAATTGATAAATCTCATTAGTGGGATGACTGTGCTCTCTCTTGAACAGCCTAGAATATTGAACAGCCTAGAATATTGCTTTCAAAAGACAATCATCCAAATGCCAAAAATGAATTAGCTGTAAATGGCTTCTGATTGGTAATTTCCATACAGATGTGCCAAGCACCAACCAAGAGAAGAACCATGCTTTTCTCTCCCTTGTTGGTGTATAAGGCATCATGAGGTATGATAAACCTGGCTTTTAAGATTTCCCAGAGCCTCATATCCCAAAGACATAAGATTCCTATTTTCTGTAAACACTAACTTGGATCAGAGGGTTTTAAAGAGCACATTATTAGAAAAAGCAGTTTCAAAATCCAAATGAAAATACAAGCTCAGTTGTTTAGAACCTGGGATTTGGTTCATGCTGTTCCCAATGCTTGAATATTTCTTTCCTGTAAAGTAACATAAAGCCACAAGTCTTTTAAGATAAGCAAAAATAAAACCCATTTGTACAGCACTTCCAGGGAGATAACTGAGCCTGGAGCTTTGTGAAGTCAGAGGGAACTACTGATTTTGCTACTCATTTCCCACAGAGGTGTGATGCCACCCCGTTGTTTTTGCAGAGCTGACTGGCTCAGTGGGATACCAGCAGTGGGATACCAGCTCAGCTCACAGCAATGATGGATGGTGCTCCTGCTCCAGCAACTCCAGCCTGCCAGCTGGCTCAGAAATCACATATACACATGTGGAATTCTACCATTCTGTGTGCCTCTGCTGAACAGACCTTCTTCACACCTCTCTTATTCCTCAGAGACTTCAACCACCTTGTTTTGAAAAGCTTGTTTTGACATGCAGGTTGGATCCTTTGCTTGCATGCAAGGCTAGATGCCTTACCTCATCCATAGCATGGGACAGAGAAAAGAGATCTCAGACATGAGGTATCTTTGTCAGCTTTAGCAGTGTTTTTCTGTGTTTGATTTTGGTACAGCCCTGCATGACTTTGAAAGGGAGATGGGTGCTACTTCCCCATAAGGCTCCCATAGTACAGGATATCCAATAAGATTTGGAAGAGTGTACCTCCAGTACAAAAGGCCTTCAGAAAGAAAATATCAAGGAGAGGAAAGATTTGAAATATGCAATTTTACATATTTTGAGAAGCAGCAAGGCTAATAGTGTATGATTTGTGCATCAGCTCCAACCATCCCATGGCTGCCCTGATTATTAAAGGTTTTATCCAGTCACAATTATTAGTAATTGTGTCTTCCAAGAACAAAAAGTTATCTGGAAATACATCATTACCTTGTAAAGAAGTAAGGCTTCTATCAATTATTAAATCATTTCACAGGCCTAAGAGTCCTTGGGGACCTTCAGGGGGTGCAGTGGCTTTAGCCAGCTTCTATCCAGAATGTGCCTCTGCAAACAAACTACCCAAGAAACCAGCATACAACTAATTACAGATGCTATTACCTACAGTCAGCATAAGCAGATGCCATTCCATGAGATTTCAGACAACCTGCTGAAGTCTAAATGATCACAAAATGCATTAGCAAGTCAATATAGCCTTACTAGTAGTGAATATAACAGCATTAAACACGCTTTTCCAAAAAGACAGGGAACCCACAAAATATATATGAGCTGAATACAACTGATGATTTCACGTAAGGATTTTGCTAGAACTGCAGAGCTTTAGGTGCTAACTTAAAATACA